AAATAATAAATGGGGATAATAGAGTTGCAAACATTCTGGAAAGCTATATGCTGAAGACCAGGTTCTTTCTGAAGGAAACTTATTTTTACAAACGAGACTCTTGGTGGTTTGACGGAATATTTCTATCAGCAAAAGCAACCTGCCCACAGCGAAAAAAAATAACTATATCAAGATAGATTTCAACTCTACAGGGGCCTAGACATTTATTCATTTAGTGGATTTATATTGCCACCCATCTCACAGATGTGACTTTGGGTAGCTCACCATATTAAAAATAATAAAAACTTACACAAAAATATAAAACCCGTAGCAGAAAAAAAAAATCACAAAGCCACAATCGACACTCAACATCATCAGGCCACGGGCTCCGTCCCACACCCAGGGCCCCAGGTTTGAGCACAGAGCCCCAACTTCAGGGCCTTACGGAAGGCCAACAGGGATGGGGCCACAATCCGAGCTCTGGAGGGAGGGCATTCATAATAAATAACATAAATAATAATAAATACACGAGACAGAGAGCCACGATGTATTTTTCAGCCACAGGTAACCTTGACTCTCTGGGGACAGCGCCTAGGGAAGAGAGTTCAAGAGTTCCCAGTTAAAGGGATACTTGGGGGGCTTCATCCCCAGTTAAGACACTTACTGATGATGATGATGATGAGGACCACAACCACCCCGATCAGGATGGCCCACATCTGCAAGAGAAACCCCAAGAACACTGCTTTACTGCTTGGGAAATGACTTTTTAATGGTTACTGAACCTTTTAAAAATAAAAAAAAAACCCAAAGAGGAAAATAGAGAAGAGATTCACAAGTGTCATAAGATTAAATAAATGCAGACTCTCAGAGTAGTTTATTTTATAGGTGTTTAAATAACTTATGTCATTTTAAACCAGTGTTTCTCAACCTTGGGAACTTTAAGATGTGTGGACTTCAACTCCCAAAATTCCCCAGCCAACCATCTTAAAGTTCTCAAGGTTGAGAAACACTGGTTTAAACTATCATTATCAAAATCAAATTAGTGTGTAAGTATCAGTAACAGTAATCAGCAGAGTTATTTTAGACATTGAGGCATATCCCCACAACTTAATCTGTCACTCTTATTTTTTAGGAATTGTTGGCAATGAGAAATGTAGGAAGTGTATTGTTCAGTATGCAGTACTTACAATGTTAACAATAAATATTGGAGTGATACACCATTGCTGTTGATGTTTTACACCATTGATAAAAAATCTTATACCATATTTAAGTTTTCTCTAAGTGTGAAATTCACTGTAAATTCAGGTTTTTTTCCACTGAAATTCTCATTGCAGAATATCAATTATTTTGTCTAAATTCTGCATTCATCTTCATATTTCATCATCAACTTATAAACTTACATGCTGTATTGGAGCCTCCTACTGCAGATAAAAAAAATCTGAAGTTAAATTGATTTGGAGAAAGCTTTTCCAATTCCTGTTCACAGTTTAGAGATTCCTCTGTTTAAATTTACAATTATTGGATTATGATCTGCATAAATAAGAACTTGCAGTTTCCACTTCTATGAGATTAGTTAACAGTGAGTTGATAATCCAGCACATACTTATTCTTGAGTAAATTTTATGAATTGAAGAGTAATGACATATAATCAAAAACATTTTGAGGGAGTTCACTAAAGTTCCTTTCAGATCAAGCAGAGTTGTCTAGGTATGGAGAAAGAACCCCATCCAGATCTCTGAAGATCAAAATATCAAAATAAGGAGTGGAAAAAAATATTTCATAGAACTTTATTTCATCACTCAGAACATGAATTGGAGCAATTGTTATTTTCCCACGTTCAGTCTGAAATACAAACCCTTCTTCCACATCTTGGTTTTGTCTTTCCAAATTCCATGGTAAGTTTCTCACATATATTACCCTTATTTTTTCTCGTCTGCCTGAGGTCACAACATTTTAACTACAATGCTTGCATTGTCCTTTTTGATACGAATCTCTTGAAGACATACAATACGTACATTTTTCTTTTTCAGCTTAAAAACATCTTTCTCCTTGTAAATGGGCTAGTCAGCCCATTACTATTATTTGAAGATATTTTGATTTCATATTCCAAAGATTCATCTGGGTCCAAATCAAGATAAACTCTGAGTAAGTTTTCCGTTTCTCTTTTGAAATCTCTCCCAAAATCTTCAGGTATGGATGGCTCTGAACTATAAATTGTTTTTATGGAATTCTGCTTCTGCTATTTGTAACCTGTCCTCCAACTTCTTTATCTCTAACCTTTGAATTTGCTGATCTGAAGATAGTTCTTGATGTCCAATATGCAAATGTTTAATTTCTTTACTGTGCTGTTCTATTTTGGTTGCTAATTGGTCATATGTACCATAAAAACCAACTCAGTCAAAGTCAGAGCACTACCAAAACAGGGAAAAAGGCTATTTTCCTGTGTTTATGGAAACTGCTTGCAACAAGTCAGTTTGAGGACTTGGAACGTTTAGTATGACAACCCCATCAGCCGTCGCTCCTTGCCAACATTTGTATTATTGTAGTGGGTGGAGAATCATAACATCTTTTCTCACAGGACCCAGCAGTGGCCCTGGGACCTTTGTTGGCTGCAGACCCAGGCAGAGGATGGGTGCCCCCCTCTCCCAGGGCCCAGGTTGTGATTATGAGCCTGAAAATAAAGGAGAACTTTCTGCACCAGCCAAGTGTGGTTCCAAAGCCCCAGATCCAAGGGATGGGATGAACACTCTCAAGTCCCCTCTTTTCAACACCTGCATCTAGAGGGCTAGATCCTCTCTTTGTCAGCCCTGTCACCTTCTTTAAATGGCAGAGCTGGGTCTTCTCTTGAAGCAAGAGCCTAAATGGACAGCCTGAGCTACAGGATAGCAGGAGCAAGAAGGGAGGGCTCCTGAACCGTAACCTTCTGACCAACCTGGGTCCCAACTTTCTTACCTTGCAGTTCTTCCACCAGTATTTCCTTTTCAGCTTGGCTGCGTTTGTCTCAAATTGAGCGGCTCCAGCTTGTAAGGCGTCAGCACGATCATCCAGCTCTGCCAGCTTCTGATCTCTCTCCAAAACCTTGTCCACGTTGACCCTCATGATGTCCACCACCTAAAACGTGAGAATGAAGTCTTAGCTTGGCAGTTGCTTTTCTTCTCAGCCATACGTTGCCCTAAGGAAAAAGGACTTAAGTCTGTGCATAAATAGTAGTAATGTGAGATTTGGAAGGCCAATGAAAAAGGGGGCATATAAGTCCCAAACCAAGCCAATCTCATGCAGACATCAGTTGGGTCAGTTTCCATAGACAGAGCCCCACATCAGCGTTTTTTGCAGGACCACTTAGCTCAGTGTCTTTCAACCTTGAGATGCATGGACTTCAACTTCCAGAATTCCTGATTCTGACTTCTGATTCAAATGATTTGCACTCAAGTAACACTCAAGGCCCTTTCCCCATATACTGTTCCTAAGCCTGATATCCCCACCCAGTGCTGTGTATTTGTCTTTTGCTTCCTATTGCGTTTAAATTTTATTTTGCTATTTAAACCAATTTCTATAATCTATCAAGATCATCTGAATGTTATTTCTGGGTATTAACTGTTCCATCAGATTTTTGTCATCAAACAAATGGGATCAGCATTTCCTCCAACTCCTAATCTGGAGGCCAAACTAAGGTTCTGGCACTTGATACCTCGCTCCACTTTGACTGACACTCTTCCAATACAAATTTTGAGCCAGAATGAATCGCTGGTCTTACTGACGCTCCTTTTCTACTTTGGACGGACAGCATCTTTAACCAGCTTGGCCCCTCTGCTGCTCTGGCAGGGAGAACCCAAGAGTTTCCTTTCTTAGCCCCAGAGAGCATGCCTGTTCAGAGGTTGACAAGGAACATATTGTAAGAGTTCCACAGAAGGAAGATGGTCTGGATAGATTTTCAGGGGGAGTCCGACATTCCATTCCATTCGGATTGAAGAGGAGGTAGCAGCCACGGCCAGGAGAGTCTTCACACAACTCCCCCTTGCATGCCAACAGGAACCATTCGTGGATTGGGAGGTCCTGCCCATAGTCAGGACACGTTATACAACATGATAGCAAACTCAAGAAGAGACAAGAGAAAAGACAAGCGATTTTGGATGAGATAAAAAGGAAAGAAGAATTAAAGAAATCCCCAGAAAAGAGAACTATTTCACAACAGATTAAACTTTTACAGCAGCAGCTATCTATGTTAACAATAAGTAAAAATGAATTATGCAAAACAAAACATGCTTGAATTTGCAAACAAGCCAGGGAAGTGGTTGGCATACAAATTAAGGAAAGAAAAAGAGAAAATGATACAAAGAACGTTAAACATTCAACTGAAACCAGAACTTTTCTTGCTGGGACTAGTGGATAGACAATTAGAGAAGAGTTATGGAACATTATTTTTGTATATGATCACTTCTGCGAGAATATTATATGCACAAAAATGGAAAGACTGTGAAATACCCAGAACGGAGGAATGGATGGTGAAGATGACAGAATTAGCAGAGAAGGCAAAATTGACTAATTTGATTAGAGAAAGGACAATAACTACATTTATTAGTGACTGGAAACCCCTTATGGACTTTTTGCTGAAAAAAGAAGAAAACGAACTTCTGATTTATGGGTTTGTTGATTAGAAAGGGTGCACTGTGGAAAGATGGAAATTATGATGTAATTTGAGAGAGAGAGGGCAAGATATAAATGTATTTATAACAGCTGTTAGGAAGATCAGAAGCTGCTTCTTTACAATCGTTTCTATCTTCTTTCTTTTTCCTATTTTCTTTCTTATCCATTCACTGTTTTTCTCTATTTTCTTTATTTCTTTTCTAAAATTTGTATTGTTTTTATCTTGTTAAGTCTCTTTAATAAAAATTATATATAAAAAAAGGAAAGCTGCAGCCAGGGTGGGCTGTGGATGAAAAGGATGGAGTAAAAACTGGGGTCTCTTCAATCACTATCACAGTGGGAAATAAAGCAGTCACTGCTGTCTTTATTTTCTGATGCTACTGGCTAAAATTTGCAACCCAGCAGCCCATTTAAGCTGTGAAGTTTCAAGCAGGGTTTTAGGGTATTTTGACTTTTTAAAAGGGAATTGCAGAATCTTCCTTTTTGTATCGGATCCAGAAGTCCAGAGGGTCACCAGCCTTGAATCAACGGGCGAAGAGCCATTATCTGCCCCCCAAACAATTAGGTCTGCCTTGAAAATGATCTGACCGTGAACCCCGTCATAACACGCAGCAGCGCAGTCTGCAGACAACTGTATCCTCCCATCTCCTTCAGGAAATGGGGGTGCCAAGAGGTGGAAAGCACCCACTGGCCTATCCTAGGTCCCTAACATCTTTGATGTGGGGCATCAGAAAGATTGTGAGAAATCAGGCCAACCCCCCCGCCCCCTGGGTCAGCTCAGGGCAGCTGCATCCCATTTTGGCCCACTCTCCCTTCAACTGGATCCCACAGCAAGGTGCTGGAGCTTCACCCACCAAGTCAAGCCCATTTCTTCGTGTTTGAGGACACGTGGCTCACCCGCCCCCCGGTTCTGAAGAACCTGGCTGTGCTTACCTCGTCAACTTGGTTCTGAGTCTGCTGAAGACGCCGGTTGCTGCCAGAGGCAGAGCCTGCTCCATTGGCACCCGACCTGCACAAAGAAACAGCCCAGGGTTATTGCCAGACTGGGATTTATAAAAACTGAATAGTTAATCTGGGTTAATATCAATTCACATAGTCCAAACCTACGTGGCACCCAAGAATTCTAGGAATGCTTCCTGCGACCTTGTCCTAGATAGTGATGGCGAACCATTTGGTCAAAAATTCAGAAAATGCCTAACTTGACTCTGCTGGCGTGTCACCCCCAACCTCCGAACCAAAGAGAAACAATTCTTTACATATTCATTTATTAAAAAAAAATACAGTCCAGTCATGTGCGGTGCTATGTATTATATAAAGAAATGTCAAACAATTACAAAAACTAAATATGAGTAAAACAAACTCAGTTTCTTTGGTAACTCAAATAGGGAGAAGAGTTGGTGTCGGTGAATGCTGGTGTGTCACCCAAAATGTCGTGGCATATCACCTTTGACAGGTGTGTCATAGGTTCGCCATCACTGTCCTAGCATCTCACCAATAAAATGTGGTTTCAGTCACTATTCAGTTTATCCCACGTGCATCATAGCATTTTCTTCTGCATTCCAACCATGTGCAACTAGGGAAGTTGCAAATAAAACGTATCCCTTAGCTACAGAGTCTATACCAGGGTTTCTCAGCCTTGGCAACTTCAAGACGTGTGGACTTCAACTCCCGGAATTCCCCAGCCAGAGTTGAAGTCCACACGTCTTGAAGTTGCCAAGGCTGAGAAACCCTGATTTATAAGTAATCCCAAAGTACAGTAATGGCATTTTCTGAGCAACAGCACAAGTTAACAGCTCAGAAGAATAACGGTACTCATGATCAGATGCCTGCAGGCCAACAAGGAGCACTGGCAAGCCTTACAGGCACCGCATGGGGCATATTCCCCAGAAGACGCTGCCTCCCTGGGTATCACTGGCCTTCTAATCCGATACAAGCAGAGAGGAGAAGATATGCGTAAAGACCACGCTAAAATGCCACAGAGTCTGGGAATACGCATGGCAAGAAGACCCTGATTCTTTCCTACACCAGTATGAATCTATTGTCAGCCCCACTAGGTAGACCAGACCAGAAAATCAACTCTACAAGCAGCCTAAAACTACTTTGAGACTGGTATATATAAAAAGAGAATCTTGCAAGTCCGATTGTGGTGTGCCTCCTCCACCTCCTCCAGTGAATTGGGAGGGGTCTGCCTGAGCCACCTCTGAATGTCATCGCATTGCTCTGGACTTAACATTTCAGCCCCTTTTGCCCAGGGCATGGTTCCTGCCTATCTCCATCAAGGTCATCTTCTTGACTCTCTACCCCTACCTTGGCAAAGAAAGCAGACGGGGGGGTAGCCTTGTGGGAATACTGAAGTGACTCGGATGTGCCAAACCAGACCCTTCAGCCCATCTCCTCCTCTGAATTAGCGTATTTGACTTAACCTGTTCAGCCATGGTTTAGGTGCACCCTAGCACGCAAACCAACGTCCTCCCGTGCTTATTGGCACTGTTCCACCCTGCTTCTTAGAGCCCTGCTTCGCTGCATCCTCACCCAACCTTCTCAGAAGGCTGGTTGCCATTTCTGAAGGCTTCCAGCACAGATGCCAAGTGGGGTCATCGAACTGAGGGTGGATCCGGTAGGGGTTGCCCCTCCTTTCCCGGCCACATCACCTATCTGTGGCAATTGGTCTAAGTGTGGCGTAGTGTTAAAACGAGGAGTGTGATGACCTGGGTAGTTCTGGGTCCGTCCCCCTTTCTCAGCCCAGCCCGCCAGGAGTTGCCGTTATGGGAAAAACTTAAGAGGAGGAAGGGCCGCGCATCCTGCTTTATGCTCCTGAACAAAAGGCAGGATTTAAATCAAACAAGTGAAATAACAATATGCTGCCTGCAAAAGTTGCTTAACTGCAAAAGGAAAAGAAAAAAGAAAGAGAAACAGGAACAAAACTCTGTAGTGCTTTACTTTCATTGAGCCACGAAGGGGAAGATTGGTGGGGACTTTTTACAGTGGGTCAAACTCCAACTGCTTCTCCTTTATACAACAGAATGCTGGCTTATATATCCCGGGCTGCCTCCTCGGTTCTTTCACTGGGAAGAGAAGGTGGAGTTGGCCAAAAGGACTTTCCAGGGATGTCCTACAGCTCTGTGAGATTAAGTTTGATCCAGAGGGAGTTAATGGATCCCGTAGGATTGCAGCAGTTCGCATGGAGCTCTGCGTGAGGAAACAGACTTTGCTCCCCTGGATCTCTGGAAGAAACAGGGGTTTCCACCGATAGGGAGACACTGGCCAAATTTAATTTTGTGCCCAGGTTATGTGAAATAAATTTGTTATTATCGATATTTTTTGCACGTGAAATAACTGAGTGGAGATCAAGTGGGGCAGAGAAATTCAGAACAATTTCCCGGTACTATTTGCCCCCTTAATGAATTTCCTAGAAACTGCTCATTAGTGCCTCGTTGAAAAATGATGAAGGCCACCTACAGTCTGAATGAAATATCAGTTTCATTTTTCATTCACAGCAGAGTGACAGAGTGGCACTTCCTTGCTCTGAAAACCTCCTGACAATGGCAGTGTTTATGACAGTGTTTCTCAGCCTTGGCAACTTTAAGACGAGTGGGCTTCAACTCCCAGAATCCCCCAGCTAGCCATGGTTGAGAAACACTGGTTTATGGTGTCTCTGAGTTGAATCCCTACAACCAGAAAGAAGCACTCCGTAATATTTTTTCTGCCCATAATCTTAGAACGGGAGATGCATCAATAGCTTGTTCTTAGCAATTTGTTTCCAGTGCTTGGATTTTCTGACCGTTTTTAACACAATCTTTTGCATCTAAATGCTGTAAGAAAAGCTGGTTACAAGGGTAGTCATGAACATGGGTCACGGAGTGCTGAGTATGGAGACTTTACAGAGGCACGGCTGTGGGGACATGTGAGTCCCCCCAGTTTAAAGCTTGCTGGCCCACCTTCAGCTTCCCAAGGTCTGTCCCCGACGACCCCCTGAAATCAAAAGGTCGGTCTCCCCTTGTCGGCTAAATTGCAATTGACTTTCTGAGGATAGAGCTGGGCAAAGCTACTTCAAGGAGATGCATTTTATGCTTTCCAAGCCAGAGAATCAAACCAGTGTTTCTTGGAGAGTTTGGGGCACAAGATGCCCCTTCCTGGCCCTTGAGAGCTCTGATGCCACCTGGTCTGCAACCAAACCCAGCTGCCGCCCCCAAACCCGCCACTTGCCATTTTCTCCCATAAAAGGCAAAAATGGGAAAAGCTGCATCCTGCTTTCAGGCTCCCAACTGCCCCATGGCTGGCCCAAATTCTCTCCCCCCATCCCCAAGTTAGCAGAGAAGCCTCAACGGGCTGAGAGGGGGTGGTGTGTTCGGAGACAGGAGGCCTGTTTGGGATGTTACGCAGGTACCAAATGGCCAACAACAGATTTTGTTCACCGTGGTCGCAAGTGTGCTGCTTCCGCCCTGCCTCAGTTGCCCCGTTCCCAGTGACTCCAGTCCGGCAATCTCCCCTAAGGCAACTGGTGACAAAGCTAGAAGTTCCCACCAGGTCTGAAAGTCAACATGGTGGCTTCAACCATGCAACCAAAGCCCTTTCACGTGTGTGACAACACACCCGAAAAGGGGCTTGTATTGCGTGGCTGTGGCCGGCCTCCATCCTGACCAGAAGTACAAATAAGGGGATGTGGCAGAATCGCCACGGACGGGACCCAGGGCCAGGGGGCAGGTGTGGCAGGCTTAGCTAAACCATGGCTTGTTCCTTTGTCAGCCTGGCCCTCCGGCTGGGGAGCCTTTCTGTTCAGCGGCCACCTCAGGGGCCTGATCCGCAGGAGGCAGCTCAGCCCGGCGGGCGGCCGCAGAGCCTCCGAGGGAGGACCGAGGGGGAGGCCGCGTTTCCCGAACTACGTTCCTAACCCAGCTAAGCAACCGGAGGGAACGCTGTTGCTTCCATCGGCCGCGGCTCCCGTCGCCCCCGGCCCGGCCGCGCAGCCCTTCCCAGCCCCGC